GGGGGGGCCGCGGTGCGTTCCGCCCGCCGAGCCTGCTTGGTGGTAGGGCGAGGGCCTGCAGAGGAGAGGAGGAAGAAGGGCCCGCCTCTTGCCTTGTCTGTTCATTTGTAAGGAGACGATCGGTAGTTCTTTCAGGTGCTTTTCTTTCTCTTAGGTGTTTGCTTCAGGCGACATAAGAATGCGGGATCTTTGTTGTTCCTGGAAGGCTAATAAATCTAGGGCGTACCTTGGGTGTCTTTCAAAGACCACTTTCTGCCCGCCTTGTGTCATAAAAAGCTGAAAGGGTGCAGGCTTTTTTCCCTTTGCAGGCTGCTTTTAATACGCCCGAATCATAAATTGTAAAGAATCATAAATACAAAGGTGATGCCTGCACAGGATACTGTGGAGGTCAGTGGTTGAAAAGAGTAGTTTCCATGAGCATGCTATTTCAGAGACCCTTTTCTTAAACCATCCCCTCTCCTGCTCTCTTCTCTCACCCAGGCGCTTGTTTGCTGGTTGTCAAAGGGACGTGTACAGAGTATATAAAGTGGCGGGGTTTGGGGTTTGTATTTTTTTTTTTTTTTTTTTTTTTTCGGAGGATCCACTTTAAAAAACAGTGCGATGAAACGTGGTGTGTGTGATGTGCCTCCTGCCGTACAGCGTGGGATGCTCGTCCCCTAAGCTTTGACTGTAGGAAGTGGAAATAAGCAGAATGTTAGAAGTGGATTTGTGCAAATCGAGCTACGGGTCAGGCGTTTGAAACATTGAGTTGAAACAGTGAAGACCTAAAACGTCCTAGCACGCAGCTAATACCGTCATTACAGAAGGCATACCTGATGCGTTTGTGGAAACGCAGTTTGTCTGCGGTGTCTCATAGATGTACAAAGATTCAAAGCAACGCATCACCCATTGTAGTTTTCTACCGTCCTTAATGTGAAATCTTCCTTATCTTTAAATCGGGTCCAGCAGCGATGTAAATCGCCCTCGCTCCTGCAGTGTTTGTGCTGTACTTTTGCAGTGTAGTTTGCTGTGGATGTGTAAATACGAGATGACGTTGTGGTGTATCTGTTTTCTGTTTTGTAGATGACTCGGCGGGTGCAATTCCAGAGCATAACGAATTCCTTTTTCCAGAATATGAAATTTTGATAGATCCTGAGGAGCCAGAATTCCCTGCTGACAGCAGTGTGGATCCTGATGATGAACAAGGAGCTTTAGGCACATCAAAGGACCCAGAAGAACAAGAGGAGCTCGGAGCTACAGGCAGTGCAAGTAAGAAATAAGACATTGTCTGTAATTCTTCCTAATGAAGCTGGCATTATGTCTTTAAAACATAAAATACTGTGATTTTTTTTTTTTCTAAGCGTTCTGTCTTAACTGGTGGTGACAAAAGGCTAAATCTATGGTCATTTGTGATGCAAGTTTTTTGTAGACATCCTGTACTGTAAGTTGCTTTTAGGGGAGAGACTTACTAAGCCCCAGCCCCAGGAGCTGTTGAAGTGGCTGTCGCTGCAGTGAAGCTGCAGGTAGCTGGGAGTTATACGGGGTCCCTGTGCACCTCCCGCAGGTAAGGAACAGCTCCAGTGTGAAGAACAGGGCCCTGAGCATCTGCTGCCATCAGCTGTTGGAATTGGGAGATTGAGTTAGATGCTCTCGGCTTGGCTTGGTTCAATTTGTCTTAATTTACAGAAAACACTTAACAAATTTCCTTGTCTGTGCTGGAAGAAAACTGGGTCTGAGGCTATTTTAACTGACCTTGAATTAAGCAGGCACCTCCCCCACCCCCATCCTCCAAAAAAAAGTTCAGGATGTGTGTGCAAGCTCACCACACCGGCTTTGCCACACGCCCAGGGTGAGGAGTATGTGGTGTTACAGGGGAGGGCTGCTGGGCTCCCAGCTGTCCCTTGCTGTGGTCTGAAGCTGCCCGGGGGCTGCTCGGTGCCCCACGTTGATGTGAATGTGGGAGGGTAACAGATAGGCTCTTCGGTGCTAGAAACCAAAGCCTGGTCTGTGCATGGCATGGGTGGCCTGTTCCAGATCACAGAACTATAGAATCATTTAGGTTGGAAAAGACCAAGGTTCATCAGTCTCAGCGGTCCCTGCTGGGAGCCATAAACTTTGGTAGATTAACTCCTTACCTTTCCAGCATTCCACTACTGACATCGTGTTTAAAATGCAGCTAAAACTTGTAAATGGATCTCTGTGTGACTGAATCGTAATGTCACAAAAAAAAAAAAAATCATCATGATTTACACTGGAAATGATTCTTGAGAGCAAAATGCACTTACAGGTACAATATTGGTTTGATTTTGGGCTGGTTTGTATTAGCCTTTAACCTTTGGGGGGTTTTTTTTGTGTAGGTGAAGCATTTCAATCCTTAGACGAAGAGACATTGGAAACAATGGCAAAACATGAGACTGAAGAAGACAAGATCTTCCAAAAGTTTAAAGAGCGAGTAGCTGCCGAACCAGAGCAGGTCAGAAGATGGGGTGGCCTTAGAACTTACAGGTTCTGGCAGGCGTCCTGCTGCACTTGCAAAATGTTTCCCTGCCTTTCATACCTACGGTTAGAAATGGCGATGGCGGTGCCTCCTCCTCCTCCACACGCCTTAACCAGCATATCCGAACCTCCCTTACGTGCAGAACTTGATTTGTGCCGAAGTGAGAATTCAGCACCTGTTTGTCTATCTCAAACAGAAATTGGTCAGGATGAGAAGGCACAGGGGTGCTGAAGCCAGCATGGGGCGGGGGGCCTGCCATCCCATGAAGTGGTTCTCGCTGAAGGGGCTGGGGAACCATCGCTCTCTCCCCCAGCCTTTTTCCCTGTTGGTTTTCCTCCTCGGCAGAAAACAAACTTCAGAGAGGAGCTCTGTCACAGTCACCAGCTGCATCGTGGGGGGGGTGGTTTGGCTTTTTTTAAGGTTGAAGAAATCACTGATGGCTTTAAAATGTCAACTGTTTAAAACAGAATTATCCCCCCATGCTATTTCTTGCTAACGCAAGAGGCTGAAAAAAGCCACACTGTCAAAGAGAAACAGGATTCCTGGTTCCGTTCAGAGGAAACACAGGCCTAAATCCATGAAAGTGGTGGAGGAAGAAGAAATTCTCTCTGTGCTTTACCTCATAGCTGAGGGGTGAGCGTGCATATCCAGGAGGTGGGAGATTTTGAGTCTGTTCCCTCCTCTGTTTGGGGTAGGTGCCTCACCTCCCTCTGACCAGCCCTGTACTGACTGATCTGCGTGGGAGGAGCCCTGTTGGTAATGCCTGATTTGCTATATAAATATTTAGATAGTAACAGAACAACAAAGGATACGAGCATCTGAAAATGCCTCCTTCTTGGACGTTAGGGCAGTCCCCCTGTGTTTAGATGCGGAACCGCAGAGCCACATTCCTGACTTTTCTGTACGCTTCTAGCTGCTCATCTATCAATCTGCTGTTCCACCACCTCAAGCTATAAAACGCTGACCTAGAATTTCTGGGTCCCTTAACTAGGAAAATCAAATCATTGCAGCTTATCCCTGGATCATCGAAAAAAAAGCTGTATGAATACTTGCGTGATTCACGTAGTTAGGAAAACTTACACAAAGACCGTATCTTATTTAGAATACCGCATTGCAACTGATTGATAGACGTTGCCATGGGTATTACTTAAAGCAACTGACCTTTTTCTGCATCATCTGTCTATGTCAGTAAATACCTATTTTATACCAAGATGAAAAGACAGTCTTGAGAACTTAAACTTCTGCTCTATTTTAGATTATTCGGTACTGCAGAGGAGGAGAAGGCCCCATCTGGGTATCGGGTGAAAATATTCCTGGAGAAGAAGATATCCCAAATTGTTTATGTGGTGCCAAAAGGATTTTTGAATTTCAGGTATGTATATTCATTTAAAGACAATATGGGTGATGTAGTTCAGACTTAACAGGCTTGAATTGTGTAGGTGTTGGCTTGTAATTAGAGCAAGGTAGTTGGAAGTTGCTACAAACTAACCATGCTAAACTGTACAGAGCCCTCATTTACTATTGTAACTGCTTTTTCCTGTAATGCTTTCATGCACAGAAGGTAGGTTCCCTAATAATAACAGTATGCACCACCCATAAAATGGTGCACTTGTGCATATGGAACCATCTCTTCAGCAATGGGAGCCTGGTATTGTAAATTTTAAAAAAACAAAGAAAAGGCTTTATGATGTGAATTGGAGATAAGGCTGGCTGGAAGCTGTAGAATTTTGCATGCTATGTATGGTGACTACACTTAATGTCATACAAAGAAAGACAAAACATAGTTACGAAGGTAATTTCAAATGGAAGGTGGCTTACAAATCAGGCAAGGCTTAGTCAAATAAAACTTCCATAGATAAGTAGGCCCATGCCTCCTATTCCCTGTGCATCTACTACACTGTTTTGGGAATTCCAAATTTATTTTATTTGAGCTGCCATGTTACTTAGTAGCTTTGATTGGGATTTTGGTGTAAGAACATAAATGAAGGCAGAACCTTTCTTTGGGAAGAGACGCAGGGAGAGGGTAGAGCAGCGTGGCCTGCCTCTAACCCCTTGTTTTTCCTTGCAGATTATGCCACAGCTCTTGAACCACCTTCAGGTTGACAGCCTGGGAGAGAGCATTGACTGGGGAACACTGGTGGTGTACACTTGTGCCAACAACTGCGGCGAGGGAAACGCGTACCTGGAAGAGTTCATATGGAAACAAGACTTCTCTGCAGGCTCTATTTAACTTCCATCAAGTTACTAAGTTGAGTCATCTGAATAGACTACTTGCCTTCTTTCAGTGCATCCCTGCACCTGGCAAACAGGTAACTAACTGCACTAAAGCCACGGATATCTGTGTATCTGGCAATGGCGGTGGAACTACTAACAGCAGCCCTTGGCAGCCTCTCTCTTGTGTTCTGCAGGAGCTTTTACTTCAGCCTGGTTATGAAGCCAGATGCGTTTGTTCAGTGAGTTTCACTTCAAATCTCAACCCTGAATGTTTAAATAAAGATGAAATATTTTTGTCTCGATGAAAGTATCTTTTGTTGGTGACTGAACTTCAAGAACTTAAGATTGTTACCTGTCACAGTTTTCTTTATGCTACTCAAAAATGAACACTAGTTCACAGAGAAGCAGACTGCTGTAAGATCATGTGAGTGCTTATACTCAGGAGGGGTACAGAAGTCACAGCTAAGACAAAGCTGTGTAGCCTTTCACTGAGGGAAACTTAAATCTGCTTCTCTTTCTCAAAAGGTACACTCAGTCTAACTTGGCAGTTGTTACATGGTCTGATTGAGTGGTTATTCAATATAAAGATGCACAAAAATTGGCTTATCTGACTTAAAACTATTAACTGAGTTAAACTATTTCTGCACGGGACTGTCTGGTGCAGCAGCAGTTTGAACAGAGCCAGCTGTCCCAGAATGTGTTTGTCTGTCCTTCTTACTAGATTTTCAAGCTGAATTGTACCTTAAGTCTGCCACCTTTGGTAAAGTTTAAAAATAAGTGCCCTCTGCAGGGATTCTTCTGATACCTGACTGCCATATAGCTGAGGCAAGAGAAAAGTGAAACCCTAATGCTGAATTTACTGTGGTAGCTGCTTAACTACTCCTGTGGCTAATAGCTACTGAAAAGATAAGGGTGTGAGGGGGGTGTTGGGGGTTTTTTTGTGTCAGTATAGAATTTACTAAATTACATATTCCCTTACGCTGCTCAAACCATTTGTGTCTGCTTACTAGTGATTCTGAAGGTGATTTTATGAAAGCCCTGTTGGGTTTTTTGGTGTTAATTTAGATTTGGAAATACTCAAATAAGTGGGCAGGGAAGACTTTACATATAAGCTGTTTGGTCATCACAGAACTGAATTTCTAAAAGAGTAGTTTTAAGCTTTGGTACATGTCATGGAACAGCAGACAGCATCTTAAGTCGCTATAGTACAGCTTGACTGATTTTATTGAAAACCAACCCACAGTTACTTAAGGCTCCAAGTTTTCCTGCAGCGTTAAGAGTTTTGCAGAGAAGCTAGTAATAGTTCAGGGTCCTGCAACGGCACGGACAGCCACATGCTGTCCAGGAGCACTCAGGAACGTTGATTAGCTCACAGCACAGAGTGGGGTGGCACTGAGGGCGATGCAGAGGTTTTTTTGGTATCTTGAACTTACCCTGGCAAAGCTACGTTACTACACAGTTCTGGTAAGAGCCCGGAAACCAATTATTAAAGCGCCTGGAGAAAGCCTGGTGTACGCCACTAGGGGGGGGAGTAGAGAAGACTAAGGATTATGCTCGCTCAGGATTTGCAGAGCAGTAGCAAAGCCAGCCAAAACTTCCTTTTGTCTGCAATGAAACACTTAGTAAAGAGACCACGGTTACATTTGGGTTAGTTTTAGATAAAAGCTGTTTGAAAGAAGGTGCAAGTCACAGAAAGGAGGTTACTATTACTGGAAATTTACTGGAGAAAAAAAAAAAGTTTATTTTCAGTTCTCAGCCCATTAAGCTTCAAGCACAGTTCAGAGGGAAGATTATGTACATACTGACTCTAGTCGGAAGGGCTTTGACATTTTACAGGAACACTAATATAGTGAGACTGGCATAGTTGGTAAAATACAAAAGTAGTAATTTAAAGAAATTCTAGAAGCTAAGCAGGGATCTCTTGTTCCAATTCAGTCAAGCGTAGTTACTTAAGACTTGCATAAATCCACTCTGTTGAAGACGAGGCAACACATACTTGAACACAAACTTCTTTAACCAGTTATCTCTTTTGCTTTAACATAGTAGAAATGCTCAAGCTAGACGTTGCCAAGGATACGACTGCTGGTAAGCAAGCCAGAGCATTGCTGAGATGCTCTCAGAATGACAAGTCACTCACTTACAGCAGTGCATGTGCTACTGAAAAATCCAGATTAATTAAAAAAAAAAAGTTTTCAATGTATTTCACTCTACCAGCTGGGTAATTCTAAAATTCATTAAGACAGTTCCCATAATCGTATAAACAGGGTTTATTGTACATGTGGAGCTGAAGGAGGAAAGAGAAGGAAGGTATATATTATATATATATGTACAGTGAGCCATTTTCATTAATAAATTTATTCTGTCTTGCTTAATACTGGAAAGAGGGAATGTGTCTGGCACCAAAGAAATTTAAAATTGAAAAAATTTAAAAGCTTAAGTTCTGAAAATTATAAAAACCATGGTCTTATGGAAGTTAAAACATATATACATGGTGATTTAAGTGGTTTATACACTGAGTGACACAGTTGCATTTGTCTTTTAAACCAACTTACGGATTTTCTATTAATAGAACTGGCATTAAAACTATTTAAAAGCTAGAATATAAATAAAACGTGGAGGGACTGCTGCAGGAACAGCCCAGTAAAGCAACTCACAGTAACTCAGTAGACGTAATCAATAATACAGTTCCCCTTGAGCATCAGGGAAGTAGGCACTAACTGGGAAATAGTCCAAGTCCTGGTGTTGCAGTTTCACTGGAAGTCCATCTCGTTACTGCTGTGCCATACGCAATACCTTTTAAAATATCCCCCCGATTTCTCTGAAAGATGTAGAAACCGTTACGTTGTCTTTCTGAATCCCTTTAAAATAGGATAGATGTTTTCAAAGGCTTCATAGATTTCAGCTCGTACTTTAGCACCTAGAAAAAAAGAGGGGATTAAGCTAGTTTGTACCTTCTGACAAAAACTTAACGTTAGCTTTTAGAATGTTTATTTGAGTGTGACTCTATAGAAAACCTATGCACATCCATAAATCCCTATTTTTAAGATCTCTTTTTAACTACCCATTTCATATAGAGCAGACATTACCAGCCTTCTCACTGGTTATTCTAATAACCGGTAAAAACTTTCATTAGCATCTTCATGCTTTTGCTACACTTGCAGATGGGATTTTTCTACGTATGACTTCTGCAGGAGACCCAACTACAGAGCGCAGCCCTACAAGGTGTTTCTACAGAAAGGCCTAACCGGTGGAGATTTTTTTTTTTCTTGAGAGCAGGAGCATCTGAGGAGCAAGGTCTGGCAGAGACCGCTGCAGAGGCCCACCGCTTGCCACACTGCAGGGACACGCTCCTCCTTTTCCCTGCAAGTCTTGTGGGGAATTTTTTTCTCCATAGTGAGACTTGGCATGAGGGGAAAAAGAAAGGGTGTAGGTGAAGTGCCTGAGGTTGAGGGGGTCCTAGAGCTCAGGTGTCTCCCCTTCTTTGGCTGCTGTATCAAAGGAGAATGGCAGCAGCCTCCAGACAAGCTGCCAAAGAACAGTGAGCTCGGTCACACACCCCCAGCACGCGGAAACAAAGACTTTCAGATTTTGCCAAAAGCATCGTCTGCACTCTTACAGCTTTTTGGGCACCCACACACTTGATTAGGATTCATTGATTACATTGATTTAGGCAAACGTGTGGTTTGCTTTGTGCGCTCTCACCCACAGGATGCTGTGCTACCTGCTCTTTCTCAGTGCTGCCTTCTCTAAAGGAGAGCGCCCAGCAAATGACACACCCCTGGTAACACTGTGTGCTCCGTAATACAGTCTAAGCCTAACCTACTGGAGTAAGATACAGTCTTCACTTACCAGTTAAAACCACTTTTCCAGAAACAAAAATAAGGAGAACAATTCTTGGCTTAATCATTCTGTAGATTAAGCCAGGAAACAATTCTGGCTCGTAGCTGTAAGAGAAGAGAGTGACAGTGTTTAAACCTGCTTGCAGACACACATTCCAGTCTTTCATCTGCAGGACTGCAGGAATGGGCAGAGCAGATGCAGACCTCCCTGAAGTCTGGAGGGTAGCAGGGAAGATTGCTTTGATGGGTCCAATGGGCAACCTCGGTTACAGCCAAGGCAGAGCAGCGATGGGAACAGAGATGCAGGTTTCCCTCTGGTGCAAGGGAATAATCTAAAGAG